AGACTGCCCCAAATTGAAGAACAAAGAGAAGGAGAAAACGGGTTCTGAAGCAAATATTGCAAAATATGGAGATGATGATGATTTCGAGTTTGCTTTGGCTAGTTCATATGCTGATGGTCACTCAAATGAGTGGATTTTGGATTCAGGTTGCACCTATCATATGTGTCCCATTCGGAAATGGTTTTCTAATTTCAAGGAGCTGGATGGTGGAGTTGTTTTGATTGGTAATAATAATGCCTGCAAAACACAAGGGATAGGCAAAATATGTTTGAAGATGCATGATGGAACAGTCAGAGAATTAAGTGATGTTCGGTATGTACCGGATATGAAGAAAAATCTCATTTCACTAGGTGCATTGGAATCCAAGGGTCTCAAGATCACCATGGAGGGTGGAGTTCTTAAAGCTGTGTACGGGGCACTGGTGGTGATGAAAGGTACAAGACGAAATAACTTGTATTTCTTGCAGGGGAATACAGTTATTGGTGGAGCAGCTGTCACCGAAGCTGCTGACGCAGATAGCACAGACACCACGAGGTTATGGCATATGCGTCTTGGGCATGCTGGTGAAAAAGCGTTGCAAGGATTGGTGAAGCAAGGCTTATTGAAAGGTGCAAAGGCATGCAAATTGGAATTCTGTGAGCATTGTGTGTTGGGTAAGCAAACTAGAGTAAAATTTGGCACTGCTATTCACCACACTAAAGGCATTCTTGATTATGTTCACACTGATGTTTGGGGACCTTCCAAGAATGCATCTTGGGGAGGTAGCCATTATTTTGTCTCCTTTGTTGATGACTTCTCTAGAAGAATATGGGTGTACACCATGAAGCGTAAAGATGAAGTCTTGAAGATATTCCTGAAGTGGAAAAAGATGATTGAAACGCAAAGCGGTCGAAAGATCAAGACTCTCAGATCAGACAATGGGGGTGAATATAAGTCTGATCCTTTCTTGAAAGTTTGTCAAGATGAGGGTATTGTGAGGCACTTCACGGTTAGGGAGACACCGCAACAGAATGGGGTGGCAGAGCGCATGAACCGTACTTTGCTTGAGAAAGTTCGGTGTATGTTGTCTAATGCTGGATTAGGCAAGGCATTTTGGGATGAGGCAATTACTTATGCAAGCCACCTCATTAATCGATTGCCAGCTGCTGCGAATGAGGGCAAAACGCCCATGGAGGTATGGTCTGGTAAACCTTGTACTGATTACAAGTTTTTACACATATTTGGTTGTCCTGCTTACTATCATGTCAGAGAAAGCAAGTTGGATCCAAGAGCAAGGAAAGCTCTATTTATGGGCTTTAGCACTGGCGTGAAGGGATACCGACTCTGGTGTCCAGATGAGAAGAAATTTGTTGTAAGCAGAGATGTGACTTTTGATGAGGCTGCTATGGTTAATCAGAACAAGCATGAAGGTGAAACTGAAGCGACCAAAACCATGAGGAGCTCAAAGCAGGTGGAGTTACTGAAGACTCCAGTTGTTCCAGTAAGGTTTGATGTTTCAAACACTAGTCCTACAGTTAATTCTGATGATGAGGACGAGGATGATGAAGAGGAGGCACCTACCCAAGAGCCTCCACAGCAACAAGACTATATTGCAACCAGAAGATCGAGAAGGGAAATCCAAAAGCCTGCTCGATTTACTGATATTGTGGCATATGCACTTCCCGTTATTGAAGATGATATTCCATCCGCCTACAAAGAAGCTGTCATGAGTTCAGAGTGCGAGTTGTGGAAGAAATCTATGGATGAGGAGATGAAATCTCTTCATAAAAATGAGACTTGGAAGCTAGTTCAGTTACCAAATGGGAAGAAAGCAATTGGTTGTAAATGGGTGTATGCCAAAAAGATGGAATCTTTGGGAAAAGACAATGTAAGATTCAAAGCCAGATTGGTAGCTAAAGGCTACGCTCAGAAGGAAGGCATTGACTACAATGAGGTATTTTCTCCTGTAGTAAAACATTCTTCTATTCGTATTCTGTTGGCTTTGGTTGTGCAGTTTGATCTTGAGTTGGCCCAACTTGATGTCAAGACTGCGTTCTTACATGGTGATTTGGAGGAAGAGATTTATATGTCTCAGCCATAAGGTTTTAAGGTTGCTGGAAAGGAAAATTGGGTTTGCAAATTGGAAAAATCATTGTATGGCTTGAAGCAGTCTCCAAGACAATGGTATAAGCGATTTGATCGATTTATGATCGGGCAGAAGTACACAAGAAGTCACTATGACCATTGTGTATACTTTCGCAAACTACAAGATGGAACCTTCATTTATCTGCTTTTATATGTTGATGATATGCTTATAGCATGTAAGAGCAAAGTGGAGATTACAAGGTTGAAGACTCAACTAAGTAATGAATTTGAGATGAAGGACTTGGGAGAAGCTCGGAAGATACTAGGTATGGAAATTGAAAGAGATAGAGCGAAGGGCAAGATTAGTCTGTGTCAGAAGCAGTATTTGAAGAAGGTACTACAACGTTTCAGGATGAATGAAAATTCAAAACCGGTTAGTACACCTCTTGCCTCTCATTTCAAACTTAGCGCTTCTATGTCTCCTAAAACGGTTGAAGAGAGTCAGTACATGGCTCAAATTCCTTATGCAAATGTTGTTGGTAGTTTGATGTATGCTATGGTGTGTACTAGGCCTGATATTTCACAAGCTGTTAGCATTGTCAGTAGATATATGCATAATCCAGGAAAAGGGCATTGGCAAGCTGTGAAATGGATTCTACGGTATATTTTGGGTACTGTGGATGTTGGTTTATTGTTCCAGCAGGATAAAGTTACTAGTAAATGTGTTGTTGGATATGTGGATTCTGATTACGCAGGTGATTTGGACAAGCGTAGGTCTACTACTGGTTTTGTATTCTCTATTGCTGGAGGTCCAGTAAGTTGGAGGTCGATTCTGCAATCTACAGTTGCTTTGTCGACTACTGAGGCAGAATACAGTAACAGAAGCTATAAAGGAAGCCATCTGGCTTCAAGGGTTGCTTGATGACTTAGGGGTTCAACAAGACCATGTGGATGTTCATTGCGACAGTCAGAGTGCTATTCATTTAGCAAAGAATCAAGTTCATCATGCACGTACGAAACACATTGACGTGAGGTTCCATTTTGTTCGTGAGGTTATTGACGAGGGAGATATTCTTCTTCAGAAGATTGGGACCGCTGACAATCCTGCGGATATGTTAACAAAGCCAGTTTCGTTGCACAAGTTTAAACACTGCTTAGACTTGATTGGCATTTGTAAAATTTGTTGATTGCCCCATGGGGGATTGGGAGACGACTATTTGGAGTTCTACTTAGAGGGTTTGAGTCAAGGTGGAGATTGTTGATTATTGACTCAAACATGTAGTCAAAGTCCAAATCTTTGGGCTACTTTCGTGGTCAAAATTGTTGGATGGCATGCTACATGTGGGAAACCAAAATTGGATGCACTTATGCCTAATTCTTTTTGACTTGATGTTAGGCCTTTGGCCATTGATGTCTTTGAGAAGCTTTTCTTTGGCTATAAAAGGAGAGCAAGGTGCAACCCATAAGCATGGAGAAGTAGAGAAGAACAAGGAAGAGAGAAAAATAGCAAGAAGCCATTTGGCATAGAGAAGAATTTTCTCAAATTGTCTTGCTTTGTATTTTTTTGGTTTTCTCTTCCTATTGTAAGTGTGAGAGCTTGGGGTTATTTGGGTCTTTGGGAAATTGAGTGATAAACACTATTGTATGTTCTCATTGATTATAGTGGAATACTCCGTCTTCCAAACTGGATGTAGGCATTGCCGAACCAGTATAAATGTTGGTGTTCTTGTTGGTGTTAGTTTTTATTCTGTTCTGTCTTACTATTCACTTACAGTCGAATGCCGCTTCCGCACAACAACCTCTCCTCTTTGTAGAATTTCTAGAGTCATTGATTAGACTCTTCTTCCTCAACACATCTTCCCCCTCATTTTCTCCGTCTAACCTCTCCTCTTCCTCACTGGGTTTTCCTCTCTCGTTTTCTGCGTCTAACCTCTCCTCTTTCTCATTGGGTTTTGAAGTGTTTTTCAGGGAGAGGGACAGAGAAAGGAACGAACCTGCAATTTGAAGGGTTGGGAATCTGGAAGACTAGTTCTGCAAGAATAAGAAGACAGGGACCAGATTAGTAACTTGGGCTCTCCTAATTTGCAGAAATACAAAGAAGAAGAGCATTTTCTGAGGTTCCAGATGGCCGAAGCTTCGAATTTGGCGGCAAAATCGGATGTACATAATAGGACATGTCGGCAGCGCAATCTGGGCAAGTCCACGGTGCAATCTAAGCAAAATCTGATGTACAGAATAGGGCATGTTGGCGGTGCTTTGGGTTTTTAGTTCTTTGTTTTTTCATTCGAAACTGAAAAAATTTTGCTTCTTGATGTTTACCAAACATTAAAAAGCAGAGAGATTTTTTTATACTTTTTTTTTTATTAATTTAAGCAGTACCAAACTGGTACTTACTTCAAGAATAGTGAGACGACTTCATATTTTTTTGTCAATAATGCAGTGGACCACACACACACGGCAAACATGAAAGTGGTATTTGGCGGGGGTGCTTTGATGAAATTTCAGTTAAGTACGTCGGTTGGATGACATTTTACTGTGTATTTTGGTGGTGGTTAAAGTTTATCAAACTCTTCCAGCATGAATCATACCCGCTTAATTTCAATGAATTATTATTGTGTACATGTTACAAGTGTTATTTTTTCAAATGACTGAACAATGTCCTTGTTTGGTTGCTGAGGTTTTTTCATACAAAAAGAAAATGATAAACACAAAATTTTGATTTTGATCCCCACAATAACTACAGTTGTAGCTATTCTTGTTTTATTTTTACTTCCTAGTAACAATTTTGTATTTTCAACTGACATGTTTGGAATGAACCTAAACCCTAAGTTGACCAAGAGAATGAAATTATGATTAAAACACGCTATTGAGCTAATCCACGTATTATAATGTCGAACATATAAAAAGATTAATTTTGATAATTTCTATCACTTATATGCTTCTGTAAATAAATTTTGTTGAATGAAATATAACTGTTGGCACATATAATGATTAAATCTTACATATTGATGCATTGATCTTGTACCAATAATCACACGATATACGATGAATGAGTACGATTCACGAATTCCTATGATCCTCATCAAAAGGATCTGGAGGGATCCTATTGGGTTAAAGAATACCATAACCTCATCAAAATTTTATCGGGAATTTCATCCCAGTTGAAGGAAAAAAGGCACCAACAAATTACAGGTTATGACTATCTAGCTTCTGTTAATTAAAACATCCAAAATAATGTTCGGGGGAGTCTTCAAAATACAGCAACTTTCCAAATCGTGCAAGTCTCTGCAACCTTTTTGGCCTCTCGTCTCGCATAATATTGTACCAAACGGCAAACGCAGAATAATCCTCCTCCTTTTGCTACTACCCTGCCATAGACACAGTGGAATTACTCCCCACTTCCACAGCAGCAGCTTCCAAATCAGCCACCATGGGCAGCCAACGATGTAGTGCTCTGGCCTCAAAGTACATGGTAGAGGAAAATGAACTCCCACGCGCGAACTTGGCTGCACAGGCAGCAACAAAGTGTGCATTTGGCTGCATACGAGTCAGAAAAGCAAATACTATTAAGGGAAACAATGAATGGACACCTCAGAGATTGGGAAATTCCCTGCTATGTGCGATAATGCACACGAAGCAGCACCAGGGTTGAGTTGCTACTTACCAAGAACGTTTCTAAATTGAGAGCCCGCTGCTCCAACTTTCCCCATCAAACTTGGGTTAAGGCGTATCATCCACTATTTCTCCACGGCATCTTCCAGACTTCCTCTACATTGGTTAACGAATCAAACGATCGCCTGCATATATAGTGAGCCAATCTGCAATGTTCAAAAAAATTCTTCTTCATTTGTTAACTTGCTATGCGAGTCACTTGACATTACAAGATATCACAAACGCTAATATATAGAAAACAAACCTCTGAGTCCAGATGCAACTTTGAATACTCTCTTGATTGCTCATGAAATCCACAATGGTGAGAAGAATGCTGTAACATCTCAGTTCCTTTGGATCACTTCCAGGAGAAAAGCTGTTTATATGCAGCACCAATAGGCACAATATTTAAGGTATGCGATATATATTTTTCATTAAGGAGAGTGTGGATGCAGAGTTTTGATGAAAATGTAGGAAAAGAACGCAGAGCTTTACCTTCACACGCTTCTACCGTTTCATTCTAAATCGAACTGTGAAAAGCATGTTTTCTCTCCAATCCATTTCAATAGGATGCAACTCAACTGCTTGACCTTCATACCTCAGCTTAACAAGGTACTCCTAAATTCAAAGATGATGAAATTATTATTGATACATTTATCTTAGAAAACAAGCAAATGGAACTTAACACAAAAGAGAGTGGTGGAAAGCTCAATTACAGCTCGTCTGCAGTGCTCAACGTTAGAATTATCATTCTTGTGAAATCCGTAGCACACCAGCCAACCACTTATTCTAGTAATATCATTTACTGGAATACCAACAAATGCAAGCGTGACGACGGTGCTACAATGATCAAGCGCGCTGTTCAACCACTATCTCTGTACAAAATCATATTGGCACCCATTCAAAGATGAGAGTGACATCAAGAGAAGATGAAAAGCCATGCCTCTCATATTCAAACTATAAAAGCATTAGAAAAAACATCACTCCAGGGGTAACCTCTCCGATTAAAGGAGAATTATATGCATGCACCATTCAAGGACAACTAATCGATGCATGTTCAAATCGTTGGCTGTAGATAATCCTATCTTTACAATTCCAGAGTTGCCATCTGCATCAATAAAGCCGACAAATACGTTAGTCCCATCGTGTTGTCCTGATTGATTGCATACTTGAATTACATTGATACATAAAGGAAGAACAGATTACACTCAAGTGTTCAACTACATACACTGACATCTGTAGGTGCAGCAGCCAGCCACCATGTCTAGTAACACTGGCATTCTGGCAAGCGCTGCCAATAAGCCATGCTCTCTCCAACCATTGTGTTTGCAAGGAAACATATGTATATGCAGCTACCACAAGATGACAGAGGCATTGAAAGATGAGTAAGCATTCAGCCATATGGAAACCACAGTAGTATATATAGATATATACACAAGTACCTGAGTAGTTGATATAAGCTAACATTGTTTTCCCTTTGATAATCCTATCTTTACAGTTCAATAGTTTTCTCTCTGGACCGACGAAGTCCCACATACAATCAACCTTTATATAGCTGAGGTCCTTGTCCCTGCAGGATTTGCGAGAGTGGGAGGTGTTGAAGACCGGTTCCTATTATATTTGACAATACTGTCCTGAAATTTAAGAGAAAAAAGAAGGGGTAGCATAGTTGATGTAAGCTAACATCGTTTGCCCTCTGATAATCCTATCTTTACAGTTCAATAGTTTTCTCTCTGGGCTGATGAAATCCCACATACATTCAATATTTGTATAGCTGTTGACGAGAGCTGAGGTCTGCAGGTCCCTGTCCGGGCAAGAATTGCAAGAGTGGGAGGTATTGAAAGTCCATTTCTGTTCAAAGATTTCAAACTTGACAGTCCAGAAAACCAAAGCACCATTTGATAATCCTATCTTTACAGGTTTACACTGTTTGCTGGCTGCATCAATGAAACCGATACATCTGTTAGTACCATCACAATGTCCTGACTTAGCATATAGTTGAATTGAACTGCCAAAGAAAAAGACTCATAATATAAATGCAATATAGATAAAAGAAACTTGAAGATAGAAAAAGTGACAACAACAACAACAACAAAGCCTTTCCCACTAAGTGGGGTCGGCTAGAAGATAGAAAAAGTGAAAGAAAGTAAATTACAATTTACAGCTGTTCTGCAATGTTCCACCGGTGAAATCCTCCTCAATATAAATGCAATCTAGTAACGTAATGTACGTACTGGCCTTCAAGCAAGCACAGCCATGAGGCACTCTTCAACTGTTGTGTTAGTAGAGAGAAACATATCTCCAGTGCACCTGCCTGAAGATTACAGTTACATTGAAAGATGAGAAAGTTATGCCGCAAACGAGACAAGTATGAGAAAACCATCATCCAGGGTTTACCTCTTCACATGCAGGAGAAACATAAATATCCACCACAAGTTGTTCCACAGTATCAGACTAGTGTTCCGGCCTAAAACGTATGTGATAGAGAAAAATGAGCCCCCGCGAGGGCACAGGCAGCAACAAAGTGTGTGGCTGCATACGAATCAGAAAAACAAATACTATATATTAAGAATGGACCCCTTAGCGACTGGGAAATTTCCTGCTATGCGCGATAATGGACATGAAGCACTACCACGGTTGAGTTGCTACTTACCAAGAAGGCTTGTAAATTTGAGTGCCCGCTGCTCCAACTTTCCCCATCAAACTTGGGTTAAGGCGTATCATCGTCTATTTCTCCACGGCATTTTCCTCTAGAGCGGTTAACGAATCAAATGATCGCCTACATATAAAGTGAGCGAATCTGCAATGTTCAGATAACTTTTTTCTTCCTCTGTTAACTTGCTGTGCGAGTCACATGACACCACACGCTAATATATAGAAAAAACAAACCTCCGAGTCCAGATGCAACTTTGAATATTCTATCAATTGCTCATGAAATCCACAATGGCGAGAAGAATGCTATAACCTCTCAGTTCCTTTGGATCACTTCCAGGAGATAAGATGTTCATAGATGGCAACAATAGGCACAATTACATTTAAAGTATGCGATATGTATTTTTCTTTAGGAGAGTATGGGGATGCAGAGTTTTGATGAAAATGTAGGAAAGGAACGTAGAGCTTTACCTTCACATGCTTTCTACCGTTTCATTCTGAATTGAACTGTGAAAAGCACGTTTTCTCTCAAATGATCGAATCCATTTCAATAGGATGCCAACTCAACTGCTTTCCTTTTTCATACCTCAGCTTAACAAGATGCTCCTAAATTTAAAGATGAAGAAATTAGTACTGATACATTTATCTTAGAAAACAAGCAAATGGAACTTATAACAAAAGAGAGTGGTGGAAAGCTGAATTACAGCTTGTCTGCAGTGCTCAAGGGTGACAAAAGAGAGTGGTGTAAAGATAATCCTATCTTTACAATTCCAGAGTTGCCATCTGCATTAATAAAGCCGACAAATACGTTAGTCCCATCGTGTTGTCCTGACTGATTGCATGGTTGAATTACCTTGCTACAGAGAAGAAAAGCAAATTACACTCAAGTGTTCAACTACTTACACTGAAATCTGTAGGCGAAGCAGCCAGCCACCTAGGCTAGCAACACTAGCATTATAGCAAGCAGTGCCAATAAGCCATGCTCTCTTCAAGACTTTAACCGGAATAATTCACTCCCCTCGCCACTCATCCTGTAATTTCATCGGAATTAGACTCTGAAACTTGAATTTAAGTTGGAATATTGCTGAGGACAATTAGTACCTGGCTTTTGTCTTGAGAGTTGAGAGTTTGAGAGAGTGAAATGAAAGCTCAAAAGATGTTGACTTTTCCATCTATCTCTATGCAAGGAATGCGAGCTACGTTCTCATACCTCTTCTTCAGATACCTCCTCTTCTTCAGATAAGAAAGAGATGCCGGCGCACCCTCTGGACTATACAAGTTGCCCAGATAAGAAAGAGATGCCGGCAAACCCTCTTTTGGCAGGAATTTGATACTCTCGGACCCTCCAATTTGTAGGTGTTGAAGAGAAGTGAGGTGCTCAAGTCCCCTTCCGTCCAAAGATTTCAGACTGCATACAGAAGAGATTTGGAGAGTGTGAAGAGTGGCAGGGAGAAGCTGTTCATTGAGCAACGTCTCCAGCAGATCCTTGGTTCCTACGAAGATCTGAAATCCTTGAAGAGAGGCAAGCCCATGCAATCCCCATTCCACTGAAGGCCTCAGTCTCTCACATAATTGGATCCCAAATGATTGTAGGTTGGGAGGCAAACCCCCTTGTGCAAATGACACCACATTTGGAAGAAATCCTATCTCCAAACGTTGAAGTGCGGTGAGGGTGTGCATGCGGTCCGGCAACAACTTCAAATTCTCGCAGTCGAAGACTTGAAAGGAAGTGAGGTTGGGAGTGGGCAATCCCCCGTCGGGAAAAGAGACAAGATTGGGACATGCCCAAATAATCAGGGAGTTGAGATGGCTGAGATTTTCATCTGCTCCTCCTCCAACTGAAAGAGATTCCAAATTCCGACAACCCCATATTTCAAGAGATGAAAGTTTGGGGAAAAGGCCCAAAGGGAAGGACCTCAGAGAATCACAGCTCTCTTTTAGATGCAAAGACCGAAGGGAAGTCAATTTGGCCATCATCTCACGTGATAGGAATTCTAATTTCTCGCAGAATTCAATTCGGAGTGACGTCAGCGTGGTGGGTAGACCATTTGTTGGGAACGACAAGCGTGAGGAACAATTATAAAGAACCAAACTTTGAAGACGATTGCTGTTGTGCACCATTTGCGGCAACCACTCTGTCCCGCCATTAAAATTAGTACCAAGCACCTGAAGCCACGGCAGCGTCTCCGTCGGCAAATGTAGTACCTCACATTGATAGACCCTAAGTATCTCCAAGGAAGGAAGATGAGTGGGCAAGTTTCCTCTCAGCTTCGGACATTGGCGTAACCTCAGCTCCTTAAGACGAGGAAAGTCTGGACTTTCACCTCCACTTGGACTAGGCAGCCATTCCTCCCACTCTGGCATACTTGAAAACTCTAGCTTCTCTAAACATTGAAATGGTTGATTTCCCCCGTACAACTCAACACCAACACTCGTAACCACTTTCATCCTTTCTACGTAGAGCTCTTTCAGAGCAGGTAGCTGACCAACTGGTGGCAATGAACTGCAATTACCAAAGTCACTGAGACGCATCACTTGTAAGTTGGAGAATGACGAGTCTCCCACCCAATTTGGGAAACTGAATCCGCCATAACACTTGATGGTTAGCTTCACCAAATTTACCGAAGGTTGAAGTCTTTCGAGCACATATCTCTCTTTTACCGAATCATCGGAAACCTCATCACCCCATGCCAACTCTACCTCATTAAGATCTTTCTTATCCTTCAGCAAGACATCAATAGCACCGACTACATTTTGAAGATTCAAGATACAAATTTTTCCTCGAATGTGCGACAACTCCCTCAGCTCTGCAATGCTTGACCCAGTAGATTTCCCCAACACAAAAGTTGTCAATGTTCTCAAACTTTTTAATCTACGCATATGCACAGGCATCTTTTTTATGCGAGTTCCACCAATATCAAGATGACGCAAATGAATCAATTTACTCATGTCTGCAGGCAATTTAGCAAGGGAAGAACAACCTAACAACAACAGAGTTTGTAAATTGTAGAGGGTACACACTGTATCGGGTAACCTTTTAATTGCCGTATAAGAGAGATCAATGTAGCGCAAGTGTATGTGATTACCAATGGAATCAGGTAAGTGAGTGATATTTCGATATCTTGACAATGATATTACCCGTAAATATTTTTGTGTTGGCAGAAAATCATCTTGAACCTTATTGCTTACATATACTTTGTCATCCCTTGTGTCATATGGTGTTAAAGACATTGGAAAGAATGTGTGCAAATACTTCACTCCATTTAATGGCTGAAATTTTGAAGATGTATCAAATTTCCCTCTCACATACGAGAAGTGGCGAACTCTTTTACGAGCTTCATGTGAATGTTCAACATCCAACCTAAAACAAAACTCTCCAGACACAAACATAGCCAAGTCATTAATGAGATCATGCATAGTGAATCTTGGTTGATCCAATCTTGGTCTTTGAAACAGTGATCGCGATAACAGTTCGTCAATGTATCTTTCACCAACCTCCTCTAGTGTATTCCCACTCTTTGATTGTGGAATTAAACCTTCTGCCACCCATAGTAGAATTACATTTTCCTTTTCCATTTCATAGCCCTTTGGAAAAATTGAGCAATAAGCAAAGCATCGTTTCAAGTTAGTTGGAAGATAATGGTAACTCAACCTTAGAGAAGGAAGAACACTATTAGCATGTGGTAGATCCCAAAGATTGCTATCCAATATGTGATTCCATTTCTTGTAGTCTAGGTTGCAACCTAAGAGACCCCCTAGTGTTTTTGAAGCTAAAGGCAAACCGTTGCACTTGAGTGCAATTTTCTTACCAACTTCTTCCAATTTAGGATGTGCAATGGAGTTTTCATTTCTAAATGCATGTTTTGCCAATAACAACCAGCAATCATCGTCCGACAATTTTTCCAAGTCATATATTGGAATAGTATTGTGCACGATGGATGCAACATGTCTACTCCTTGTTGTTACAATGACCTTACTTCCCTTCGCCCCATAAGTGAAAAGAGTTCGTAGACGATCCCACTCATCATAGCTCTCATTCCAAAGGTCATCTAGGACAAATAAAAATGTCTTTCCCCTTACTTGCTCCCTTAGTCGAATTTCAAGGGAATTCATATCGGAGACATCCCTCACTTGTTCCCTCCTTAGTTGTTCCCTTAGTAGAATTTCAAGGGAATGCATATCTGAGATATCCCTTGCTTGTTCCCTTGGTTGAATTTCAAGGGAATGCATATCTAAGATATCGCAAGATTTCTCAGTGATTTGCTCAATAAGGGTCTTAATCACCCTCAAAGCATCGTACTGTTCGGAAACACAAACCCAAGCATGAACGTCAAAATGCTCCTTAACTTGTTCATCATTGTAAAGGAGTTGAGCAAGGGTTGTCTTACCAACCCCGCCCATCCCGACTATTGGCACTACAGAGAAATTACTGCTACTTTCATTGTCAGATAGCAGCAGTAGTGTTTTTAAACTTTCTTTATCCTTATCCCTACCATAGGGACAAAATCCTTCTTCAACTACAGAAGTTGTGGGAGTTCTTTGTGAAACCATGTGCCCAATACCTTCTCTAAGACCAAGGCGATTTCGCTGTTCTGCAAGGTGTTCTAACCTCTGAAATAACTCCTCTATCCTACCATTCATGCCTTTATAATTAAAAGGATTACGAGAGGTAGAGAGGAAGTTCAACACCTGGGTTTTCTTAGTCTGATCTTCCACCTTGTGACGCAGAGCTTCAGTATCGATCTCATCCACCAGGTCCTCCGCATCGAACACAGCATCTTTGAGATCGTTAAGCCACACCCCGACTGCAGGGTTGACAATTTGCTTCTCCTCTGCGTCGTTGAGCACTGCTTGAAGTGTATTCAATGTCACCTTCAGTTTGTCCATGAGTGAATGGTTGAGTCTTCTTGCTCGGAAGAAGTCCACGAACTCTCCCGAAGCAATTTTTTCGCACATCACCTGGATAGAACCGGACAGCAAAGCCTCTCCAACCAAAGCCATTTTCTCTTCTTGGCAAAAGGACTAATTTTGATCGAGTATTTGAAGTTGAAAAACTGAAAATTCTTTGTGAAATTCAAGTAAAGAACTAGCAAAGCCTGTTAAGATTATTATGTGGCTCAACTTACTTCAAGATAAGTGAGACGACTTGCTATTCTTTGGTCAATAATGCAGTGGACCACACACGGCAAACAAAGTGGTATTTGGTGGAGGTGCTTCGATGAAATTTCAGTAGAGGGTAAAAGAATATTATGTCAGTTGGATGACATCATTACTACTTTAGTCTAAAGAAAGCATTGCAATTGGCACTGTTTTTTACTGTTCATTGTACCTGAATTTCACTTTATTTGCAAAATTGCCACCGCCCCTTGACTGCTGTTCAGATTGGAATTTCTATTTATTTACGAAATTGCCACCGCACAGTGGAAGAGCGCCCACGTTTCAATCATCGTGCAGTACTTTTCCGTCCGTTCCATCCCCTCTTTCATTCCCTCTTTTTCTCTCCCGTCTCTCTCCGTAAACGTCCATCAAATCCCCCCATCCTTCCCTTCTCTCACTCTGTAATTTCTCTCAAATCCCTCACCGATTCTCTCTCGCCATTCTCAGTCTCGCCAGTCGCGAACTCCTTGACCGCTCGCCATTCTCACTCTGTATGTTCGGCCGAGAGAACTCATTCAACCGCAGAAACGAGGTGTGAAGGTGCGGACTATGCCAATTCTGCGCTTACTTTTCCAATTAATATCTGAAAATTGACAATTTTTAAAATTTTCTTTTATCAAAAACGATCGGAGGAAGTGGGAAATGGCGAGCGCAGTGGACCCAATTTCATGGCAGGTTGGTTTAAAGCAGTTCCAAAATTTGGGATCCTTTCGGATATTTTTAGGTTTTTCTGATTCTTGAATAGCTATTTTTCGTATACTGTATTTGCTTTGTTAAATTAGTTCTTTTTTTGTTGAAAAATGTTATTTGGTTTTGCAGATCAAAGTTTTTCAGCAAGAAAATTATCTGTCAAATTAAATTTATTGTTATAATTCTACATGTTCTTGGTTTGCATTTAATTTACTTGATTGTATTAGTGGTTGCTTTTGTTTTCACCCAGCTACCAAAACTTTGCCTACACTGTCCATCTCTGTTCTCCGCTGTCCGTCACTGTAAGTCCTTTTTCTTTTTCGAGAATTTTCAATCCTTTTATGTTTCATTTTCTGAAATCTTCATTTTCAATGCATATGCAAATCTGTGCTGAAATTCCTCTATAGGGATTTTCATTTGTAGTAGGATTGAATCGTTTAAATTCATCTTCATCATTGTATGAGAGTAGCCATGTTTTATTTTGTTGTCATCTTTCTTGATATCCTAATTGATTTGACTGGATTAATATACACTTAGTAATGCATTCTGGCAGCAGTATGCATGTTAATTCAACCGAAGAGTTAAGGTTCTATCACACAACAGGAAACTGGATTGATACCTACTACCTGGCTATCAGTAAATGCTTAATAACAAATTTATACAGATTATAAAGGTTCATGCATTCACAATCTCATTTTTAACTTGAAGGTAGTTGAGCTGAATATACTGAAAGATAGAGATGCGCGCACCGCTTTCATCATTTCAGTTATGAGAAAAATGTTTGAAAATAAAATATATTAATTTTTGGTTCGAATTATTTAATCCACATGAGAGCTACTGCCTTAAGGTCATGAGTTTTTTGTTGTAATTGGCGTTTCTTACGGGTCAACAGAACACAAGCTTTACTAGAGCACTAGCTAATGATTGTGTTTTCCAATTTGTTTGATTGTAATCAATCAATAATTTATTAAGCCAGTAGACTAAAGTAGAATGATTGTGTCTTCCAATTTACTAGAGCACTAGCAAACAATCAACTTTCTGAATCCCGATTTGTTTGCAGCATGTCAGCAATGAATTAAAACATTTTATGGTGGATAATCAATTGGAAACAGCTTCGAATGGGAAGTTGGGCTAAGTTGGCACTTGATTGGGCTTTAGACTGAGAGAGTAATCTGGTACAATAGAGCCGATACTAACATCTGGTTCTGTCTAGACTCTAAATCACATCTTTAGTCATCACGTTTGAAACTTTGAATTCTTGAGTTTATACAAATTTTAATTCTCATTAGTTAATGCTTAACATTTGGCCTTTTGTTTAGAATAAAATCATTCCAATTTTTTGGTGTGTTTCTAGGTGGGATTTGGGATATGGTATACGTTTGGCCTATGTGAGTGATCCCTGCTACAGGAATGGACCTCTGTTAAATTTGATTTTCCTAAGCATTTTCTTTTGTTTAATGTCAAAACTATTTATAAGTCATATTTATAAGCAAGTGTTTATATTAGGAGGTGGTATGTTGACTAAGCTTTTAAGTTAGAAGGTGGAGGTGTCTTTAAGGTTTAATACAATAGATAAGTGGGTTAGATTTCTCAACTTTTAAATTGAATGTACCATTGATGTGGGTTTTCGACCTTCTATTGGATTTACCACTGGGTTAAAAATTCTAAAGAAATGCATGAACTTGGTGGTTATAACTATGTGTTCTGCTGTTAGGGTTGGGTATTGGCAATGTGGGTCAGATCCCATTTTCTGTGACACTGCAGGTTTCCGCCTTTGGGATTTGTGAAACAGGAAAAACGAATTTTTGGTGTCCGAGTCCAAGGCCATAAAAACCGAATCTTTCAACAGATTTATGGACCTTTGCAGAGTTATGATTAACAGAGACTTCGTGGAGCGCAGTATTTGAGTCTGGTTTTGGCTAAATGGGAACATTGTAATACATTGTTAAGGAGATACCTTGAATTTTCCCTTTTCTGGACAGTACTGAAATCAGTAATGTGAAACCTCCTTAGTTTACGTTCCATTGTTGCAGGAAACTCTATACAACTTTTGATTTGCCAAATAATCTGCACGCTGTGTATATGCTTTATAGTGCATGTAAGCATATCAATATTTCTTGGGGATGGATGGAGGGTTGTGTGGGTATGCTAGGCTGATAGCATACTTTATAAGAGTGTTAGCTTCAAAACCGAGTTGCTATGGTGCTTCTTGGATTTCAGAACATTGGCTATGTTCTATGGTACACCAGCCTATACAATGTTATACAGAATAGGACCAAAATAATTGCTTTTTGAAATCGCTAATGAGCAAGAAAACGGAAATCTGTTATTGAAATGCAAGCATGTTCAATTTAATGTTTGTTAAAGGACCTTTTTTATATTATGGTTTCTTCGGAGTTTCTTTTTCATTCAATGATGTAAATAATTTTCATCTTAATTTGTTTGTTTAATAAGGTAAGAGTGCTCTGCCAGAAGGCCAAGGAAATATTAATGGAAGAAAGCAATGTCCAGGTGGGCCCTTTTAGTTGCAAGTTTCTGTTTCATGTCTTTCTTTGTATTGTTTCATACAGGTTTTGGACCTATAAAGATTTGGGCATGTCATGAAGGTAAATGAATAACCATTTTGGGTTTTATGTGTTGCAGCCTGTAAAAAGCCCGGTAACTCTCTGTGGTGATATTCATGGACAATTCCATGATCTGGCGAAGCTTTTCCGCATTGGAGAAAAGGCATTATTCTGATTTGGGCTATTTAATTTATCGTATGTGTTCTTCAAGGTTGTTAATTGGTTGCTACTTATTGGTGATGTTTTCTCTTTCTTATTTTGTAGTTTTCTGGTTTGTTCTGTTGGATGTTTCACTTTCCAAAAATAACAATAATTTCCTGTTGCAATTTTTTTGCAGTGCCCTGATACAAACTATTTGTTTAAGGGAGATTATGTGGACCATGGCTATTATTCAGTTGAAACCATGACCAAGTATCGAGTATTTTTATTTCTACTTCTTTCAATTAGTTAAGCTATAATTTTAGGGTTCTCCTTCTGGCACTAAGATAAAGGTATTTTGGAAACTCTATGCAATGGTTTGGTTTGATTATTTAGGGTTTTGATCAATGGCAAGCCCAAAGGGCCTAACCATCTGCCTCTGGAGGTATGTCAGTTTCTTTTGATTATCATATCATTCTTTCTTAGACTCTTAGTCTTATCTTTTTGGAACTCCTCTGTCTGATATCCAGATTTGTGCTTCCCCATGGGGTTTCTCTTGGTGTTTTAGCTTTGTTCATTAGTTTCGCTTCAAAGGTATACAAAAGCATTATCTTCAAAGCAGAGGGCATCCTTAGTTGAAAAATCAAGGCAGAAGCCTCAGGAAAGAATAAGAACTGTGACTGATATAGTTTTGCAGGTCATCAAAGGTTTAGTTTCTTTACCACATGTTGCAATAATTCTTCTTGCTCATATGATTTACTATTCCTGGCTGTGAAAAAATATCAGTATGATAATGATCCTGTGCTTGCTACATGTGGTATTTCTATAAATAAGGACTTGACTCAGGTCAAGGGCCGTGTTCTTGAGACTCCGAAGATAAACTGTCACTTTATATATGGGCCTCGTGGGGTGGGGGGGATTTGTGACTTGGATATTTCAAATGAGCTCAATGTGGCTCATAGGTTGTATCGAGTGCACAAATGAGCTCAATATGGCTCATCGGTTATAGAGAATTAGAATTTGACACTTGGATATTTCAAATGACTAACAAACAGTAATCAATTTAACTTTTCTTCCTTGTCAATTTTAGTGTTTTTTCTTTTCTTATTACTTTTAGGAGTTAATTTTTGAGATATATTATGACTAGCAAACTTGAATTTTTTGCTATTTAGTAGTGAATTTGTAGCACAATGGAAATATGTGGAATGAGGGCGATGTCTTCTATTTGCTCACCCAAAGGTTCCAATTTTTTGCATTCTTTTGGGGTTTTTTTTTTAATTTTATTTATGAAATTTGATGACTAATTTTTAAATAATGAGAAATTAGTTCTTCGCTGTGAAATGTTCATTTTTCGGTGTTTCTATTAAAACAATGAAAATCTTAATCTTCTATCAAATGGGCTGTAATTTCATATGTTTTAATGTCAACAATTCACTGATTATGGTTGTAGTGGGTTGGTCTGAATTGCAGGATTATTAAGGTCTGGAAAAACTGATTATGATTGTAGTGGGTTGGTTTGAATTGCAGGATTATTAAGGTTTGGAAAAGTTGCAGCCTGAGATGGACCAACTATCTGAGGCCAAACTTGAAGAGAGGTATTTTATCATAATATGAGGAGAAGATATGCGGGATGAAGAGCTGAGCGACAGCAACGGTGAGGTTTTATTTTCTGATTTGGATTTTGAAATTGAGTAATTTTCTACTTTGTGTCTTTTGAGTAGGTGTGGGATTTAGTTTCATGCCAGGGGTTGTAGTGGGTGGATTGGATGTAAAATTTTCTTTTCGAATTTCAATCCCCCCTAAATCTCTTCATTCCAACCAAACATTTGAGGATTTGGTTTTAATTGTTTGTTTGGATTTTTGAGCTTTTGACCAATTATTTGGATGCTCGGAAAATTTACATGCTATTTGGATACTAGGAATATTCATGGAACTCAAACAAGATTGTTTTCATAATTTTTTGAGAAATGTGGAATTTCGTTTCAGATGGTATTGACTATTTTTCAAAATCCTATAATCTGATCGAAGTTCTTAATTAAAGTTTTAAGATATCCTCATTCATTTATGGTGTTTTTTTAACAGGTTTTAAAAGATCCTGATCATTCCGGTTAATTAAAGTTTTAAGATATCCTCATTCATTTAACACATGAAAATTAAGCATTTTCATAATTAAAGTTTTAAATTATCATCATTCTGTTCAAATGCACCATTTCCTTTTTGTTTCCCTTCTCTCATCTTGCAAGCACTCATGGTGTCCATTTCCTTTTAATTTTGGTTAATGCAGGTTTTGAAATTTGTGATGATCATTTTCATATTTCTATAAATTTTGAGAGAATAAAGCATGTGAAAAAGCACATTATTCTATAGGTATAAATCACATTAGTCTAATTATGGCTAGGATAAAAAACCATGTGATAAATTGTGGCTTGGTTATACTGCAATTTCAATTTGGGATTTGAATTTATTTACAAAATTACTATTCTTTTTAAAATTTAGAAAAGAGCATGTTAAAAGACCAATTTTCTTTGCATGAACTTGAATAAAAGTAGGCCATGAGTGAACATCTATGGTTGACGACTTACCTGCTCAAACACCACTTTTTCTGTGTTTTGCCAACTACTAAGTGAGGTATGTAGGTTGCAGAGCATATATTTTGCCGTCTTAACTGCAGGCGCAAAATATGTGTAAACTCCAGCTTGCTTCTGTTTCTTCAGTTTCATATGGAAACGGACAATTCTGTTTTTTTGCCTTTGAACAGTTGTGGTTCTGAAATTAGCTACTTAAACAAGTCCTCAACACTTTCTGTTTTAAATTACCTGTTCAAATAGCTGCTTACAATGCAGAACACATATTATGTGTGAACTTAATGTTATTTTTTGAAAACCATCTCTTTCTAATCAAACACGTACAGTTTTTTCCCACTCATTGTACAATGTGTTTATATGCCAACTCACTTAAATGTGTATAAAAGCAAAACCGCTTCTTACTGGCCTTATTCGCTTATGTATCCATTTGTTTGTTCGTAATTGTGTTGAATTTATTCAGGTTAAATGTGTATAAAAGCAAAACCGTTTCTTATTGGCCTCATTCACTCATGCCTCTCTGTTCATTTATGATTGTGTTGAATTTATTCAGGTTAAACGTGTCTTATTCATGCAGTTACGCTTGAAACAGTGGTTCCCGCTGCAACGCGCGGGCTTATTTTCTAGTATATACTAAAATCCAGTTTCCCCCGGCACTGTTCACCAGCAGTGAAAGGGCGAAACTGCCCTCGGATTCTTCTTTGCTTGCAGTTGTCTTTTGCTATTTTGTGCAGTGAAAAGTCCGTTTTGGCCCTCATGGCCACGCGTCTGTCATCGTTCAGTTTATGCGTCGAATAGGTTTTCGTTGGTTTACCATTTGCTTTGTGTCGAATAGGTTTTCGTTGGTTTACCATTTGCTTTGCCTTTTGTGTGTCGGCAATCTCTGCTTCTCTCCATCTTGGTATCGCCTTCATTTCGTCTGAAATCCTGTGTTTTTCGTCTTGCAAAATATTCATCGCAAAGATCGTCGTGTTCTTTTTTTTTGGGGAGTTTGTTTGGGTTCTCTGTTTTGAGACAAGTTTTGCATCTCTGTAAATCGTTTCTCCCCAATTGTCATCGGCTTTCCGACCAATTTTTGGTCCGGTCTGGGTGCGATCTTTGTTCAGATCATCGTAATTTTTTTTTATTTAACTCAGGTAAGTTCAGCAACCCTTATATGAGAGTTGTTATTTCGAATTTGCTTTGATTTGAACGAAACCCTAACAGTTTGATTTTATGCTGAGTTGTGGCAGTTTGTCGAGGCTTTGTCGGCTAAGAGCAGATTTTGCATTTGGTTTACTCCGCTGATAAATCTGAGATTTAACAGGAGTTCGAAGGCTACTGTTGGTTTGGGTATGTATTCCCTGCTTTCATTCCTTCCTAATTGTATATGGATTTCCTATTTAAATAAAGCAGGGAACTAATCGATTAATGCATGTTTTAATTCCATTATTCCTAATATTTTAACAGCTTTGTTTATTGTTGAGTTTTGTTAGTGAATCGACTTTTCTTTTATCGATAGCAGTGGTGTTTTGTACGTGAGGACACATGCTTATTCTCTGTGGTGTTCTAATTTTTTTAGTCAGCAATAGAATAATCGAATGAGATTGATCTCAAGCTATGATTGAAAAACATGTACAATGCTATTTATCTATAATTTTCTGATTAGTGCTAAACATAGTCACTATCTTCTTTTTGTATATGCAGGATGAAAAAGAGATTCTTTGCAAGCATCACACAAAGGCCATCATTTATTCCGTATGAAAACCACATGTTAATTCAGTTTTAATTGGTTTTTCATTTATTTAAAATAAAACATCTCAAATAATTATCAATTTCTGCATTCACTCTGTCACAATGTTGTTCTAGCGTCTATTTATGTTTTTCAGGTTTTCCAAGTGTACAAGGAGGTTGCTGGGTTGAGTTCGGTTACACAGATAACGCTGCAGTATACCATACAAAGGTTTTTTTTTCTTTCCTTTTGCCCCTTTTTTGGGATATTGGTTACAAAATCTGTTTTGAGCATAGGTGTGAAAATTGCAGTAGGGGTTAGTAAGTTAATTAGTTAATTTCATTCTCAATGTGCACAAATGTTGTTCCTGCTTTAATTCATTTTCTTTGTATCGAAATTGAATAATCTAATTCTCCTTGATATCCACTTATTCTGCTAAGATATGCAATACAAATATCTGCTATCTCCTACCTGTAAACGTATGACTTAAAATCATTTCATTGACAAATTGTGCCCATGGTCTTGATTTATTTTTGAAAAGTTGTTTCTGATTTTAGTTGTTAAAGTCAATAATCAATTCTGCTTAGATTTTTTGGTAGCGTAAGTGCGTCTACACTCATCCCTAATCTTGCACACACATTAATCTCTGTCACATTGGTGAACTATGGTATTGTTTGTTTTAATTAATAGCCACCGAACTAGATATATCTGATCCATCTTTTTTCCCGTATCATATCACTTTTAAACCTGTTTGATTGAATTCTGCCATTTACACCAAAATACCTAAACAATGACATCAAATTTTGAAGTAAAAAATCTAATAACTTTACTAATTTTCAGTTTCATTCAATGACACTTCCTTTTCAATTACTTTAATTTTAACATATTTCACTTTCTTTAGAATCAACCAATACTTTTTCTTACGTCACCAAACAATTATACCTTATTATATCCAATTTGTATTTATGTTGTTTCTCTCATGCTCTATCACAATATATCAGTTACTTTAATAAATTTAGTTCTAAACGTTTTCAACATAGATGATCTTACAAAACTCACTGATGTACTTATCTAATTTTTAAGTTTTCAGTATTTTTAATGAATAGTTTGGTATTTAGGCAGCTTCGATCTTTGATTTCAAATATGTGATTTTGTCTAATTCTTTCTGATCCTCAATTTCTATTGTCGTAATGGACATTCTTGAATCACATTGGTTAACACCAAACAAATGGTATGTGTCATATTTCTCTTTTTCTATTCCTTTACTTTTATACAGAGTTTTGTTTGAATGTCATCATTTTCACAAGCCCTTATACACCCTTGATTCAAACTTCATCATTCTTTAAATATCTTTATATATTATGCTCACACGTTTTGTAATCCCGCAGCAACGCGCGGGCACTATTTCTAGTTATACATGTACTAAAACTCAGTTCGGATGGCACTGTTTTGCACTGTTCATAAACAGTGAAATGTCTAAAATGCCCTTTGTTTTTCCTCTGTTTCCTTGCTGTTTCCTCTTTTGGTGCAGTGAAAAGTTTGTTTTGCCCATCGATCCACGCGTCGATCATCGCTGTGCGTCGACTGCTTCGACTTTTTCCTTCCGTTTCCGCTTTTCTTTCTCACAAATCGCTGCTTCTGTCTCTCTCGCTTTCTCTCGCTCTCCGACGCTGCGATCTCAGTCAAGAAATCTGCTTCTATCGCTCTTTTTCGCTTTCAAATCTCGGTTGAAGTGATTCTACTGGTCTCAAATTACACCATATTTGAGGGTGAAAATCTAATTCTGCAGTCGGGGAGAGCTCCCCATTGATTCTTTAAAATCAGAGGGCTCCCATATTACCACTGTTGCAGGTTCTTCAAATTCTCCCCATTTCTCATCCTAAACCCTAATTTCCAAACAATTATTTCTTAATTTCAATTTTTTAATTTTGTTCAGGTACGAGTACCGGGCGTATTTCTACGAGGTCCTCAAGGTTTACACAAAGTTATGGATCGCCAAACACTCCTCCCCTGTTCTCTCACGCATCTCCAGCTCTGTCTCTTTCATTCTTGAGGTACCTGCCGCTGTTGTCGATCTGCAGGTAAAGCTTCAGTTTCCATATTAAGGTTCCATTTTTCTTCATTTCTGGAATTTGGGTTTTAATTTAAGTAATTTATTTTTATTAAATTTCATTGTGTGGTTAATAATTTTTGCTCTTAATTTTACTAAGATTTTGAGTTCTTTTTTTTCTTTACAAATTTCAGTTAAATTGCCTGCAGTTGAATTATTTTAAAATTCCCTGTATATTTATTATTTGTTTCCAATAGCAGGTAATCAGGTAGTGTATTTTCTGAAATCTCTGATTAGTTTTTGCATATTGTGAGAAGGTTAGGGATAAGCTCGCACCTAAACTCGAGAGTGACCCAACCTGTTTGCTCTGTTTTTGGATTTTGTTTTTAAATTAAATTTTTTTTTTTTTTTGCAGCTGCTGCTGGAAAGAGTTTGTATGAATATTTCTCTTCTGGGAGTTATGGAGGAGTTGGGGAGGAAGAACAACCACCAATTCATCCATACCTCAGCTTTCATTCCACGATTCCTGAAAACGTTCATATCGGTACAAAAACTCAACTCTGATTCTATTTGAAAAGATTGAGTATTTTCCTCTTTTTTGTCTTTTTTTTTTAATTTTTCAGCAAAAAGCACCATCTATGTCCAATTTTTTTGAATTTTTCTCAGCAATTCTTGCCCATCCTTGAGATTTTCTGTATGGGTTTTGGTTCTTTTGGATTTGGAAGAAGATGGAGATCGGAGTTTGTTGCTATCATCTATTCAACTTAAATTTTTGGGGATTTGGTTTGGATTTCTGGGTAAGCAAGTATCACCTCTCTATTCAACTTAAATTTTGTTTTGTTTTGTTTTTTTCAAATTTATTTGATAGCATGATTTTTTTATCCTTACTAAATAGTTGTTAATAAATGTTGGAATTTTTAATAGTTCTGCATCTTCTGATTTCTTCTGAATTTGTTTTTGTGTTTTACTATTATGTCTCATGCTTTCGAATATAATTGGGTAAATTTACCCAAGAAATGGGTAATAAATGGAAAGCTCATAACATAAAATAGAAGAGAGTTATCAACGATGATACTAATATTTTACTATTAAGTGCTTCTGTTGGACATCTCACAAGACATAAAGGCCCTGTAAGTTTTGTTCTTTTTCAGAGTGCATGTCTTTTTGGTGATTCTTTCAATGCTTGGACATCTGTTAATTTTGTGTAATTTGCTTTGGATGGTTGTTGGGTTTGATTGGATTGCACACTTATTTAAAAAAGGAAAACTAATGAAAAGGGCTTGAAAACTTTGAGTTTTAATGATAAGGACAAAATAAAGGGTAAAGTGAATAGTACCAGGTTTGACTTTTTAGTGTAAAAATGTGGTTTTTCGTTAAAGTGAACAGTACCGTGGGCTTTTCGTTAAAACTCCCATTTAAAAATGGATAATCATTCTTCGAGTTAATGGGGGAATTGTTGGTTTGGCTTGATTTTGCCTTTTAATTTCCTCTAAAGTTGTAGGTTATAATGCAAATTATGGCTATCCTGAAGCATGATATGCAGCAGATCCCTATATTGGCATGAATCCTATAATTTTTGTTCTCTTTTATGAATTCAGAATAGGCACGTGTGTGTGTGTGCAAGTGTGAAAAGCATTTATGTTTTTGTTTGAAATTTTGGAAGTGTTTGTTTTCCAGATTTGTAATCACTAAAGTTTCTAAACAATGAGATGATGCAACTGTTCAAAGTGCTTTATTATTAAGGTGAGTGATTTTTGTTTTTTGCTTTTAGCCTTTTGTGATTAAGAAAGTTTAGTCATTTGTTTACTGATTTATTAATTGATGAAAAGATGAAACATTTTGCTGCTGGTTGTTAACAAAGTAATACAATCTCACAAAATAGTTTTCATTTATTTTTCTTTGTTTGCTTTAATTATGTATCATTTTTTATAAAAAAATTTCGCATATAGTTTTGGAAATTTTTATTTGGTTAGAGAAAGGGGAAGAATATAGGAAGAGGAGAATTACATGCTTTAATAAAAATGCTACATTCTTATTTGTGTAAACTGGTTACCGGGTTGAAAAAGGAGTTGAGTGTTGTTGTTTGTGTCTTCAGAGTTTCGTCAAGATTTGAAAACAGTGAAAAGATATTACACTTATGGTCAAAATTTTAACAAAAAATGCGACTGGGATGAGAGGGTATTGTCAGAGTTCATTATGGTAAAATATTGTCGTGCATGACAGTATTAAATAATCAGTTTGATAAATTAAAATGGTGTGATTAAATAAGATTATCTGTTGGGTGTACCTATATATGCTTAATAAATTGTTAATGAATCTTCAATTTCATGTTATTATTTGCTTTGATAATTTTGTTTCGCTTTTGTATGTGTAAAATTGTCATGCTGTGTGTATCTGAGATTGCTTTTTCTTTTTTTTATTTCAAATTTAAATTTTATTTCTATGTATGGTTCACTAAACTTCTGGTTCCCTAATCATTTGACTTAATTTTATTTCCACTTTTAAAAGTTTTTCCTGTAATTTTTTGTAATAAAAGGATTGTTTTGTTGCAAAAAGCAAGGCCAATTTGTTTAAGGCTTGAAGATTTCTACATTCCCCAGGTTTATCTTCGACTTCAGGTACTTTGTTCCATTAACAACTTAAAGTCAGCTACAACCACAGAGTTTGGTTATGATTGGGTAAAATAAGCTGATTATCTGGATATTTCATGAGGATATCAGTAAGGACTATCTACCCAATCTTTTGTGTGTAAATAGTATGTAAATACACATCAAATATTATCTTTTCTGTAAAAAATACTATATACAAAAAATTTCCTACGATTAAGGACAATTAGGAGTTCAATTTGTAAAAGATGTGAATATTAGAACAATGACAATAGAACTGCCAGTCCATATCATTGTAAATAGGTTTCTATATGTATGTAAATAGTATTGCATATCGTGTGTATTTAGAACTTTCTGCATGCTTTATACAATTTTAAAACCCGCAGCATCGCGCTGGAACTATTGCTAGTTTTACTCTGTATTTTGGTGGTGGTCATGCTAGGACTGAAAGTTTATCAAAAGCATTCAAATTGAATTATACCTGCTTATTTTCAATAAGTTATCATTGTGTACATGTTAAACTGTTATTTGTTCAAATGAGTCGAACAATGTCCTTGATTGTTGAGGTGTTTTATACAAAAAGAAAATGATAAACACAAAATTTTGATTTTGATCCCCACAATAACTACAGTTGTAGCTATTCTTTTTTTATTTTTAGTTCCTAGTAAAGATTTTGTATTTTCATTTGACGTGTTTGGAATGAATCTGAACTCTAAGTCGACCAAGAGAATAAAATTATGAATAAAATCCGTCATTCAACTAATCCACATATTATAATATCGTTCATGAAAGGGATCAATTTTGGTAATTTATATCGCTGGATATGCTTTTGTAAATAAATTTTGTTGAATGAAATATGACTGCTAGTACATATTGTTACACCCACCCCCAATTTAAATCGTATTTTCACTAAGTTTGAGTTTATCTTGCTTTTAAAATGGTTTTTGGGTCTTAAATGGTGTGCCCAAGGTCACCCCCTGTTTTGTCCCCTGGTTCCTTTCCCCTTTTCTTTCTTTTCTGATTTTTATAACACTCTCTTCTCTTTCTCTCCCTCTTCTTCTTCTCTCCCTTATCCTTTTCCCGTGCCCTCTCCCTCTGCAACTCTTCATCCCTTCTCTGAAAATCACACCCAGCTACCATCCCAACCACCAAACACTAGACCTTGGACCTCGAAACCACAAGCAAAACTAGGAACTCCACCGTGACAGTCACGGTGCTCACTCTCCAGATGAAACCGATGTTTTTCGAGCCAATTTCCGGCCAAACTACAGCGAGTTGGCCGGTGTGCAAGGTATCAATCTCTTCGTCTCGCTGAGAACTACAATTTTCCTTTTTGTTTCACCTAATTTCGTTGAGTATCGAAGAAGTTATACTAATTTGAATCTTACCCAGTTTCCGGCGACCTCCGAGGCTTTCGAGACATTTTCCGGTCAAACCAAGGCGATTTAGACGTCGTGTTAGGTACCATTCTCTTCGTCTCTTCGAGGGCTACGATTTCTGTTTTGAATCACTTGGTTTCGTTAAGTATTGACAAAGTTATTGATGTTTAAAGGTTGCCCAGAAATTCTGGCTGAAATCCCAGTTTTCTCGGCGAACCCGTGCCTTCCAGGCCATTTTCCAGCCAACTACGGCCACGATGATGGGAACCAAGGGTATATTTCGATTCCTTACCTTCGGGGCTTCAATTTGGTATATTGAATGACATGTTTTGGTTGAGTTTTGAGCTCCATCGGAGCTTGGGAATTCTCCGACCGAAATCCGGCGACCCACCAACCTAAGGCCTTTGGGCCTTTCCTGCCGAGCCCAACCCAAAACCCATTTCAGTTTTATTATTTATTTTATTAATTGTTTTAAGTTAAAGGCATTTGGACCAAATTAGCTAAGGCCCTAAGCCTTTTTATCTAAAAACCCAAAAACCCCTAGAGACCTAAAAACCCAATAGGTCCTAACCCTTTTTAACCTACGCCTAGACCCTAATCCGAATTTCAAGACTAAAACCCGTTTGACCGTTGACCTCCGGTCAACGTTGACTTTTCGGGTGTTCTGGCCTAAAACATACGTGGTACAGAAAAATGAACCCCTGCGCGGGCACAGGCAGCAACAAAAAGTGTGGCTGCATACGAATCAGAAAATCAAATACTACATATTAAGAGAAACAATGAATAGACCCCTTGGCGACTGGAAATTTTCTTGCTATGCGCGATAATGGACATGATGCACTACCATCAAACTTGGGTTTGTAAATTTGTAAATTTGAGTGCCCGAAGAAGGTTTGTAAATTTGAGTGCCCGCTGCTCCAACTTTCCCCATCAAACTTGGGTTAAGCGTATCATCGTCTATTTCTCCACGACATTTTCCTCTAGAGCGGTTAACGAATCAAATGATCGCCCACATATAAAGTGAGCGAATCTGCAATGTTCAAATAACTTTTTTTCTTCCTCTGTTAACTTGCTATGCGAGTCACACGACACCACATGCTAATATATAGAAAAAACAAACCTCCGAGTCCAGATGCAACTTTGAATATTCTCTTGATTGCTCATGAAATCCACAATGGCGAGAAGAATGCTATAACCTCTCAGTTCCTTTGGATCACTTCCAGGAGATAAGATGTTCATAGATGGCAACAATAGGCACAATTACATTTAAAGTATGCGATATATATTTTTCTTTAAGGAGAGTATGGGGAAGCAGAGTTTTGATGAAAATGTAGGAAAAGAACATAGAGCTTTACCTTCACATGCTTTCTACCGTTTCATTCCGAATTGAACTGTGAAAAGCATGTTTTCTCTCAAATGATTGAATCCATTTCAATGGGATGCCAACTCAACTGATTTCCTTTTTCATACCTCAGCATAACAAGATGCTCCTAAATTTAAAGATGAAGAAATTATTACTGATACATTTATCTTAGAAAACAAGCAAATGGAACTTATAACAAAAGAGAGTGGTGGAAAGCTGAATTACAGCTCGTATGCAGTGCTTAACGTAAGAATTATCATTCTTGTGAAATCCGTAGCACACCGGCCAACCACTTATTCTAGTAATATCATTTACTGGAATACCAACAAACGCAAGCAAGACGAAAGTGCTAAAAGTGTCAAGCGCGCTGTTCAACCTCCTTGTCTGTACAAAAGCATATCTGCACCCATTAGAAGATGAGAATGACATCAAGAGCAGATGAAAAGGCATGCCTCTCATATTCAAATTAGAAACAGTATTAGAAAAGACATCATTCCAGGGGTCACCTCTCAGATTAAAGGAGACTTATATTCATGCCAGATAGCACCATACACTAACAACTAATTGATGCATGTTTAAATCGTTGGCTGTAGATAATCCTATCTTTACAATTCCAGAGTTGCAATCTGCATTAATAAAGCCGACAAATACGTTAGTCCCAACGTGTTGTCCTGACTGATTGCATAGTTGAATTACCTTGTTACAGAAAAGAATAACAAATTACACTCAAGTGTTCAACTACTTACACTGAAATCTGTAGGGGAAGCAGCCAGCCACCTAGGCTAGCAACACTAGCATTCTAGCAAGCAGTGCCAATAAGCCATGCTCTCTTCAAGACTTTAACCGTTGTGTCTGTAGAGAAACATATCTGTTAGTCCCATCACACCTACCACAAGATTACAGTTATGACGCAAACGAGAGAAGTACGAGAAAACCATCATCCAGGGTTTTACCTCTTGTCATGCAGGAGAATCATATATATCGACCCCAAGTAGTTCCACAGTATCAGACTACAAATACTTCACTCCACTCGCCACTCTCCTGTAATTTCATCGGGATTAGACTCTGAAACTTGAATTTAAGTAGGAATATTGCTGAGGACAATCAGTTTAAAAATAAATAAAAAAGTACCTGGCTTTTGTCTTGAGAGTTGGGAGTTGGAGAGAGTTATATTCATGCCAGATAGCTGGAGTAGCACCATTCAAGGACAACTAATTGATGCATGTTTAAATTGTTGGCAGTAGATGATCCTTTCTTTACAATTCCAGAGTTGCCATCTGCATCAATAAAGCCGACATATATGTAGTCCCATCGTGCTGTCCTGACTGATAGCATAGTTGAATTACACTGCTACAGAAAGGAAGAATAAGTTACACTCAAGTGTTCAACTGCTTACGCTGAAATCTGTAGGCGCGGCAGCAGACAGCCACCGAGTCGAGTAACACTGGCATTCTAGAAAGCGGTGCCAATAAGCCATGCTCTCTTCAACCATTGTGTTTGTATAGAAACGTATGTGTATACACCTACCTCAAGATGACAGAGGCATTGAAAGATGAGTGAGCATTCCACCATATGGAAACCACAGCAGTACATCGGTGAAAGAAAAACATCAACAAGGAGTTACTTTTATCCCATGCAAGGTGAATCATATATGCGAGAGATTGCCGCCACACCAATCAACTAGTAGTAATTGATATGTAAGCTAAAACCGGTTGCTATTATATTTGATGATACTGTCCTGAAATTTCAATCAACTAGTAGTAATTGATATGTAAGCTAAGACCCGTCTTCTTCTTCAGACTGAGTACCAACTCCTGAACAATATCTTCATCCATGTCTACTCGGTCCTGGCACTCAGTCTTTCGCTTCCTTTTCTTCTTTTTCACATCTTTGGGTGGTTCAGCTCTGAAAAACCAATAATAATGTTACAACACAAATACCAAAAGTAAAATTGTATAGCAATCTAGAGAGAGAGAGAGAGAGAGACCATACTTGGAATCCTTTCCTGGTAACCAGGACGAATTAAAGGCAGCAATGCCTTCGTCGTCCCTGGTGTCATCTTCTTCATCGCTTTCTCGTCCTTTACTTCCAAAGACAGATGAATGCTCGCCCACAAGAACACTGGAACCAATTAGGATGTTAGAAAATGGAACATCAAACATGACTGTGAAAATGAACTCAATAGAGACAACGAAGCATTCTTTGTTGTGCTACTTCACGTAGAGTTGCAACGTACTTCGACAGAGAGCTAGCCCCTGACTTTTTCTCATCCTATAATGACTTCAGTTTCTCCAAGATGATATCAAAATAAAACGAAATGAAGGCCAAGCGTTAAAGATATTTCAGATTAAAACAAAGTTTGATAATTCAATCATGAAAGATCCAAGAAATAGGCATTTGTGGTTATTGGCTGGTAACAATTTAGCAAAGTACACATACATATTATACATTGACGGCAAAATCACATAGGAAGAGATGGCTCCAGTCCAGAGCTCTGTGCCATAGGAAGAGACGGCAAAATCACATACGCAACAGGCCTAAACTCAGGTTCTGTGCCATAGGAAGAGACGGCTCCAGTCAAGATCTCAAGACAGTTCATGACCTTCCACTCATAAACCTTTCAGAATGCTTCCTACAAAACGCAAAGCAACACAAGTTAA